TGATTCTTCGTTTACCACAATGTCGAGTGGAGTTTAATTTAGCGAAATGAGAAAAGCACCCCTCTGTCACTAACAGTAATGGGACGGTTATTACGCCATGAAATATTGTCTCAGAGGAATTATGTTCCATTTTACTTGCTTGGCATGCTAACATATCTCTGTGTTTATCCGGTGTAATGTAAAGAGGGCCGGTCTCTGAAACGTCTTGGTGAGCTTCTGGTTGCCCTGGCGATTAAAATGTTACCAGGTGCATTCAGCACAGTAGCGGCTCAAATGCCGTTAAGTCATAGTCTACTGAAATACCCGGAGGCAAATTCGAGCAAGCGGTCTGTAGCGCGTGGCGAAATACGTTTTCTGAGAAGTGACGTAAATACTGTGAAAATATGTAAATGTCAACTGGATTGCACAACTCGATCTGCACCGTTGTGCTACAGTAACAACCAATACAGCGTCCTTAATGCATTCCAAATGGTACGTACCATGTATTTGCTGGATTCGTTTTGATACGCTGTACAATTTTACCGACACTGTGGCGCCAAGTAATATGATTTGCAGTTACAATGAATTAGGGAACTGTATACAGGGAGTTAGTTTTTGCTCTTATCCATTACTGTATTTTATCACTATGGTATAAAACGGCTTTGTACCGCAGATTTCCCCTTCTGTACAGGTATTGCATTAACTAATATATGATGCTGTCTTCACTCATTATATCTAATTACATAATGTATATTATAATGCTGTAATGCAGTGCACTGTTATTTGACGATTAGTATTGTACAGTGTTGCTGTTTGCTATGATGTGATTGCCACTGGTTACTTTGCAACATTTCCTGTTACTGTAAATTATCGTTTAGTATAAATTGTTTTATTAAGGTGAATATTTCGTTCTTTCGTTGGTTATCACATTGAAAACTGTATAAAAATTCCTGTTTTGACTTCTGACTTCAAACTTTAAAATTGCTGCTTACTGCATAACGAAATTCGAAAACTAGCCCCATTAACCTGAGACACGAAACGTTACTGGTTATCACCCAATTCACATATCTGTTGCGTCGTATATGAATAAACCGTGTTTTTGTACAGTTTTCATTAACCTGAATATATCATGAAAGTTGAGTAATCAGTAAGCCGTTCTAGCTTATTAAGTAATAATATGGTATAGTGCTAGACTGCGAAATTGAATAATACAGTAGAGTGGCATTACAACGCGGAGGAGGGTGCTTTATTTTGATTTATACCGCAGTTGTGTGCAAGGTTATTTCGGTAGGCATGCACAGGTACAGACGCACTTCGTCGTTGATATATCCAGTGCACAGAGACCGCCCATTTAATAATGATTGTTACTGTCAAGGGACCGAGGAGTTTTCAGAATTATACGGTTTCTCCGTGGTCATGTGCCCGGGCGAGAAAACAGCTTGCGCTACTGCGGTTGTTATCAACCTATCAACCTTCTGCAGATCAAGAAGTCTCCGTGCACTGCGATTAAAGGGTCTGCAATGCTATTGTAACCCTAATTAAAGACTTGCTGACTCCACTAATTGCATAACTGCTAGAATAATATGCTCTATACTAATGCACTGTGTCAACTAATGACAGCACAAAGTGGTAGTTGTTGACAGTCATATTACCGAAGAGTATGTTCTTGATTTCTGTATATATTTATACCGTAATCTACTGTTGTGGGGAATTTATTTCTAAGGAATAAAGTAGTGTAGTCGACTGTTGCTAAAGAGCTGACGTTTTTCCGTAAAGTAACATGGAATTGCATGACCGGATAACAGACACTGTACCTTTATTTACCAGCAAAGATGAACGACAGTGCCTTTGCTCTGATCTCAATTTTCAGGGACTGGCGTTAACGCCAATTGGCCTACAGCCGCCATAGAGCAGCCAACTCCGTTCTGTAGGTTATTATGATTTGCCGTATTTTGTTTTACATTGCAAAAGTTCAGACTTGACTCAGCTCAGAGTGAACCAGTTGTCAGAGAGCGATGGAAGCAGACTGTCCTCTCAGCCACGTAAATCCGTTTTTTATATCTGACCCAATTGATTGCAGCTGATTGATTTCAGTTCCGGAGTACTGGTGTTCGATTGCATATTACGAGTTGGATACCCAAGTCGGTGAGACATTCAAAACACCTTCTACGCATCCGTCAGTAACGGTCGATGGCTACGTCGACCCTTCAGTGGTTAATCGCTTCTGTCTCGGCGCCTTGTCCAACGTGCACCGTACCGAAGCCAGCGAAAAGGCGAGGTACTTTGTTTGTTTCCCTGGACTTAATTGTTGACCGTGTTGGGGTGTTTTTTGACCACGTAGTGTGCTTGATTTATGAAGGTTAATGAAAATATTAAAGTATATGTGCAGAGAATATTTAGAAAAATACATGCATGCCTAATTAATATTCAGTTCTGCTTTGTTTATTTGGACGTTTACTAATGATTTATTAGTAACGTACGCAGTAACTGTACTAGTATGCAAATATTTAACAACATGAGGTAGAATTCATCTTTCAGTACACTTAATGCGTTTCTCAGTTCCTTGCAGAGTATAAGTAAATTTTTGGTGTGCGATTGGCTCCTTCCTCTGGAGAGTTCTTCCTGTGTTTTCATGGTTAGTTTTGAGATCTCTGTGGAGACGGAAGGAACATATGTTCATATATGGTGCCAGGTGTTAGAGCTGAATAGTGTTTCATAGGTGTTTTATGTAGTTGAAGAGTTTTGGGGACAGATTATCATGTCAAATGACATCCTGTAGAAAGCGGACCGGGACCGGCATCGGTATTATTGCAGACAAGACGTACTGAGCATTTCGTGGCATTTGGTAAATTCTGACCAATGGAGAAGAGGTGGCTGTTCTGACGCACACCGAGGAAAATTCTGAGTGGACCAAGCCACCCGAGCCATTACCTTGAATCTCATTCAGTCCAGGTGACCGCCAAACGAACATTGTGTCCAATACGCCTTGCAAGCGTGGACAGTAGCCGAAACCATTTGTAGCAAAGATCGAGTGAAATGTAAAGTACAAAAAGAAACGCACCTCTTTCCCCCTCCTGCAGCTCAGGTCAGACTGTGGCTGCTTTGCACGGCTATGGGATGAAATTCAGATTCAGCAGTGACGGATTGTTACTATCGTTGCTGCATGCGCCAAATTAAAAGTTCTCGACTTAGATAGAACGATGAACTAGAAGGAACTTATGGAAGCTTGGGGCAAGAAACAAAAGAAGGCATCGTGATCAGGCAGTGGGGAACCCTGACCCATTTCAAAAATGGGTCAGTCAATTGTCTGTTGTTTTATTCTAGGTTAGCGGTGACCATTGTGATGTTGCTCTTGTTTTTTATATATACAATTAGTAAATTTTGAAGATTATGTGGCTTCAAATTTTGTACTGATATTTGTAAATGGCTTATAATAAAGTATGTATCGGACGCCCAGCAAGGATTAACTGAATTTAGAAAATTGTTTCCTGATGGTTAGAAGCTTTTTCTAAGTTTTGGCTTCACTTGCATACGTTTATTACTCAGTTTGGTTTTGACTGTGCTGACGCCGTCTCACCGCCCATTCTGTGGCAGACTTTGTAAGTGTAGTATAGAATACAACTGTAAGAAACATTTGAACTTAGTCTGAATTGTTTTCATGTTTGTTGCATGTTAATTAAATCGATGTTGACTTGAAACATCCGTCTTTTGTTCTATACGAACTGCATCATTTCCCTCAAAATTGATTACATGTCTCTCTTGATGTAAATATGCATAGTGAAGTGACGCAAAGGACAAGACCTCACACTGCTCGTAATTGCTTTATAATATTGAATTATTGTTCGCATTTCTATAATTCTAGAAATCCGGGAATTAATGGAAACGGCTACAAAGGTTGTGTATACTTTTACAGCAGGTACCCGC